ATATGCATTAGTATGACTGAATTTCTGATGGTATCATGGCGATCATCACAAAATATTTTATATCCCGTACAGGTGATGACTTGACCCCAGAGAGTTCTGTGACTAAAGGTGAGATCCTGACTTCTTTGTGTAGATAAAAGAAAACCTTTGTTGACTGAAAAGTTATTTCCACCATTTGTGCTCATGTCATGCAGCAAGACGCTGAACTCACATGACGTTATTTTAAATTTTAGCGGCCATCCCAGATTATAAAGGCTCAGTGACAAAAAGTGAGGACTCAAACACACAACAAAAGCACAAAACGGGTAAGACACAGTTTAATTGTACTGGTTATTAACAGTGGCGTCCCGGCAAAATAGTGGTGACAGAAGAGTTTTTTTAAAAAAGCATTTGCACACTTGGAAGCGAGAACTGTTCACTGGAGCAACCAGGCAGGTGCTGACTCATTGCAGGATCCAAATCTTCGGCAAAATTGGATATTTTCAGAATGTAGGTCGATGCTTGGAGGCTGGTTTTGTTTCCTGTAGTTAAGGGAATGTTGTCCAACCAACAGTCCAAAACCCAAAGATTAAGATCATTAAAGCTTAGTCCAACTCACCAGATGCAAACTACAAGGGTTCAAGTTCGGGGGTTTGTATCATAAGTTTGCATGTGGTGAGTTGGACTAAGCTTTAATAATCTTAATCTTTGGGTTTTGGACTGTTGGTTGGACAACATTCCCTTAACTATAGGAAACAAAACCAGCCTCTAAGCATCGACCTACATTCTGAAAAGATCCAATTTTGCCAAAGATTTGGATCCTGCAATAAAGCAACACCGGCCCGGTTGCTCCGGTGAACAGTTCTCACTTCCAAGTGTGCAAATGCTTTTTTAAGAAAACTCTTCCGTCGCCACTATTTTGCTGGGACACCATCGCTGCAACCTGGGCTTATCAACGCCCAAGATTATTGTGATTAGTTTAAAGAAATACAATTCAGAAGGTTTTGTTGCCCCACCTCCTGTATCATAGAAAATAATGGGGTGCAGTCAGACCATTCTGCAGAGGAGGGATGTGGGGATAAATCTGGACGTACAAAATGTCAGACAACTGTAAAAATAACAAGGCAATATAGATTCGAGTCAAATGTGGCCAACAGTCCAAAACCCAAAGAAAACCATTTAAACAAGTTAAAGGAATCAATTCTGAATGGTTTTAGTAGCTTCTCGTGTTGCATGAATCTGCAGTGAGCAGGTCTCCAGCACTACAAGGAACAAAGATGACGTCTGTTATGTCGTTCTTCCAGCATCACGCAAGCTGATGAGTTTTTCGCTCTACATCTACGTCCTGCTTTGGGTTTCCATCGTCGTTGTGTTGGCTCTGCAGCTGCTGGTGTTGGGACTGCTTTACTGGAAGAAACGACTCGGTAAGACACCTGTTTTTAACCCAAGCTGTTTGTATTAGCAAATTATAGAGTTTCATTCATGTATGTATGATTTAGCTTTGGCAGGCGGCTTTTTTAGTGAAGGTTCAGTCGTTAAATGTGACATGAATGGAAGTTTGAGAATACATTTTCACATGAAGTCCTGAGAGAATCAACAAATACAGTAAATGTTCCTGTACAGCACAGGGTAACTCGGCTTGTCTGCCGCATGATGACACTTTTCTTCAAATTTCAGTCCAAACAGAGATACAGATGAGTGACCCGAACAAGGACATGTACATGACGCCCAGAAGTGTCAAGAAAAAGAAAGGTAAAGTCACGCACTCAGTGGTAGAGTTCAACCTGTAGCATTAAAATGAAGTGAGAAAAGGTTCAAAGAAGTGAGACTATTCTGGGGTCTGCAGCGAGAGATGCTTGAGAACCGCAGTGTTCGAAGTTCCCATCACCTCTGACGTCTCGTTTTAGACGCTGCAGACAGTCTGAGCTTCGACCTCGACGCAGACCACAGCAGGAACCCAGAAAAAGGTGAGGCCGCTTTGGTCTGCAGCTACGTGGTGCGGCTTAAATAGCATTGTGATGCTAACGCCGAGTCGACAGAATTAGTTTGAACACGTGTTTGTGGTTTAGAAAGTCCTGTGAGAGTTCATTTGTCCGTTTGTTTGTCTTTTTCAGATGAAGATGAACCCCTGCCTCAAACTTTTCACCCACTTACTGGCGACTCTCTGCAGGCTCTTTGAAAATGGTTGCTGATGTTATTTCTACGTGCTTTCAGATATTTTGTACGCATTAATGAACACCTTACTGGGATGGTTTACTGGTTCTTTTGACCAGGTGACGATGATGCCAAAGCCTGAGTCTTACTAACTGTAATGCAGTTTCTTAACCCTCTGAAGCTCCAACTGTTTTTGCTTTTTGCTAATGTAGTGGGAGCATCTGTCTGGAAAGTTTGGTATTTCCAGATGGCCTTTGAACACACCATCAGATGTAGGTCAGCTCCTCCCATTGCCCAGCCCCTGAATGAGGGTATTTAAAGCACCTGTGGCATCATGGCTGCCCTTTTGTCTCTGTTTGAGTGCCACATGGGCTCCTTGTGACTCTAAAGTAGGCGTGTTGTCAGGATTGTGGACAGGGTTTTGACTGTTTTCAAGCTTTAATTCTTTTCCATGATGGTGACATTCGTTTGTTTGACAGTCTTCCCTGCGTACTGGTGTCTGTTGGTTGAGGTTTATGCCAAGCTTGCCTGCCTTGGCTTATTGTGGATGTTGCTGATTTCCCTAGTATC